TCTAGGTCAGAGGAGAGAACCCTTTTTCTCCCTAATTGACTTGCCTCTTTACCCCCAACCTCCCAAATTACTGTTTATTTTTTATTCAGAAAATTTTAGGTGTTTTTATTTAATCCTGTCCCAGCCCACTGTCCCTAAAGTTCATAAAGAAAAATACCCAGTAATGTAAGATTCTAAAACAATTTTTTTTCCTGGAGAGGAAGTTGCCTGACAACCCTTAATTTATTTTGTTCAAAAAAGATATAAATATATATATTTATATATATTAAATAAATATATATATATTTAGATATATTTTTTTAAGTTTATTTATTTTGAGAGAGAGAGAAGGAGAGAGACGGCGTGTGCACACGTAAGTGGGGGAGGGGCTGAGCGAGAGGGAGAGAAAGAAAGTATCCCAAACAGGCTCTGAGCTGTCAGTGCAGAGCCTGATGTGGGGCTCGATCCCATGAACTGTAAGATCATGACCTGAGCCAAAATCAAGAGTAGGATGCTAAACCCACTGAGCCACCCAGGTGCCTCACTCAAATTATATTTTTATGTTTTTTCACATTCTACTTAAGCCTGTATCACACTGGTACATTAACAGGGATGAAAGTCAATGTTGGATCTAGTAGAAGGATTAATTATTAAAGTGTAAGTAAAAATATCTACCCCTGTAGTTCTCTAAACCCAATTTTTCAGTTATGAGCCCTTTGTGCAAATATTTCTAACTCTTCTCCATTGGGAGGCAGGAGAGATCATGTTTTCCTCTACAGTGAACGTGGCACCCATGTTTTTGATGGAATATTTTTGGTTTTTCCTGGTAGAAACTCATCTTCTCTACTTGGGTCCACTTTTGCTCTTCAGAGCCTTATGTTTCCAACCTATCCCTTAATCCTTGAAAGGTATGTTTTTCTTGTTTCTTACCCTGCTGAATTCTTTTCCTTTATAATATATTTAATTAAAATATATTTATATATACAGAAAAGTATAAAAAATAATAAGGCACTCATGTAACAATTATTATAATGTTAACAGAGTTAACAAGTTGCCTTATTTATATCTGGTCTTTTTTTTTTTTTTTTTTTTTTTTTTTAATGCAATGTTGAAGATAGCCCTTTGCATTCTGCTCCCTATTTTATTCCCCTTTACCCGACCCGGAAGTAGCTAGTATCCTGAAGTTGGTATTTATCTTTGCTCTGAGTGATTTTATGATTTGACCACATGTACATGTGGCCGCTGCAGCACAGAGGATTCTTTTGTGCATTTAGAGTTCGTTTCTCCGACTCTGCCCTTGTACAGTATCTGTCTTTTCTCATGAACTGCCCCTTCATGGAAAAGGAAGCCAGGGAAAGCCGAAGGCGCTCTGACCTTTCCTGTTTCCTTCTTCCTCCTTGACCCCTTCCTTCAGTTACTTTATCCCCTATTCTTACATGCTCTGCACCATTGATCTCTACTTACGGCCTCTTTTTCTTCCTTTATTCTCGGTCCCCCAGTGTCAATATCCCTGGCTTCTATTTTTGGTCTTGAAGATGAACAAACTTACTTTTTCTCTTCCCTAATTTGGGAGCAGCTAAGATAACGTTACTGAAAACCTGAGAGAGAGCTGCAGTTTAATTACTTTCCAATATAGAAACACTCCTGAGCGAAGAGGGGCTGGAGCTATATATGTCTTGCAGGGTCTGCCCCTTTATGATGTTTGATATGAAGTACTTATTTTTTTTTAATTTTTTTTTCAACGTTTATTTATTTTTTGGGGGACAGAGAGAGACAGAGCATGAACGGGGAGGGGCAGAGAGAGAGGGAGACACAGAATCGGAAACAGGCTCCAGGCTCTGAGCCATCAGCCCAGAGCCTGACGCGGGGCTCGAACTCACGGACCGCGAGATCGTGACCTGGCTGAAGTCAGACGCTTAACCGACTGCGCCACCCAGGCGCCCCGATATGAAGTACTTATAATTGGCGTGTTTGTCATTTAAGTGTAGTGCTGAAGGCATTTGCCATTAGGTTAACAGTAATCTTTTACAACGTTACTTTGCTTAACAAAATTTTATTTAACCTCTTAGATATTGGTAACGTCTCATTTTATGGTCTATATACAACAGATTTTTTTTTTTATATTTTTAATGTTTATTTTTGAGAGAAAGAGAGAGAGCATGAGCAGGGGAGGGCAGAGAGAGAGAGAGGAAGACCCACAATGTGAAGCAGGCTCCAGGCTCCGAGCTGTCAGAACAGAGCTCAATGCGGGCTTGAACTCACTGTCCGTGAGATCATGACCTGAGCTGAAGTCGGACGCTCAACCAACTGAGCCACCCAGGTGCCACAGAGATTTTTTTTATATTTCTCTTTAAAGTATCTATAGCAAAGTTTACTTACTGTAGACTGGCCTTTTCTTTCTTTCAGTTAAAGTGTATTATTTACCAACCATGTGCACAGCCCATTGTGAATGGAGAGGGATCAGGACAATTCTCCTTAGGGCTATGAAATGATTATGGTAGATATTTAGGGCTCAAGGAGTTTACATTTTAGGTTGGAAGACAGATACTTATTCAGATATTCTGAGCGGGGTGTCTATTCACATACTACTAGGGAAACACGAAGGGTGGGGAAAGGAAAGAAGAGAGGGGACAGTCGTGCCAAGCCTGCACATTTTTGGGGACTCTGACGGACCAACCAAATCCTTTATTGTATGTTTGTTCAGTGTTTGAGGGAATGAGAGTGTAGAGATGAACTCTGTGTAGTCTACCTATCAGAAATCTTAATTCTGTCATCAAGCGACTATTACCTTTCAGTTTACAATAGATTGTCTCCATGTCAGACATCCTGTTAGCCCTTCCTGACCTAGCAAATCCAAATAAAGCACAAGAAGCTAAGAGTAAGAATGGGAAGGAGTTGCCTAAAATCTTTATCAAGTGTGGTCACAGTAGATCTTTGGCCCAGATACACTCTTGTGGGGCCCATGATAAGACTGGTCTTGATTTCGTCCCCCAGTCCATGTTCTGGAATATAATTTAGGCCCTTTACCAGTTTCTTTCCATCTGCCAACCCCCATGTTTGTTTCTTTGTATAGAAACCAGAATTCTCTACCCAGGCCCACCACTGTCTTCCTCTAATGATTCAAAATCATAAATTAGAACACATTAATGAAGTGCCTACTACGTGCTCACAGAAGAGATGTCAGTATAATTAAAAGTGGAATTTTTGTGGCATCTTTGAAATCTGATATTTTTCATTTTATCATTAGGCTGCTTCTTGGCTCACTTTCTTCCAAGTCTACATTACAGACTAATATATATTATATAACATATATATATATATGCGCATGTATATGTAAATTTATTTATTTTCATTTTTAAAAATTTACACTTTAACTTTTATTTTATTTATTTATTTATTTATTTATTTATTTATTTTTTCAACGTTTATTTATTTTTTGGGACAGAGAGAGACAGAGCATGAACAGGGGAGGGGCAGAGAGAGAGGGAGACACAGAATCGGAAACAGGCTCCAGGCTCTGAGCCATCAGCCCAGAGCCTGACGCGGGGCTCGAACTCACGGACCGCGAGATCGTGACCTGGCTGAAGTTGGACGCTTAACCGACTGCGCCACCCAGGTGCCCCTAACTTTTATTTTAAAAACAAACAGGCTTTCTCAGAGCAGTAGCTCCTAGAAGATCCTGAGGGGCCTAATGAGAATACTGGTGGCCCATCTGTTGCAATAGCTTTATATTAAGGCTTTTAGCTGGAAATGAATTTAAAATGGTTCTAAGGATGAAGCTTTATGCGTTTTAGTAAATGTTAACAGTTTGGAGATCTGCAGAGAGACATCTGCCACCCTTTAAATTTTCCCAAGTGACACTGCATAGTTTCTGTTGTAGACAATAAAGATGGAGGCAGGGAGATCAAAGCCACAGGTTCTTTCTGAAAGCCAGTAGTGTTTGGGCAAGTTTGGCGTTATTGCCTGTGACCCAGCCTGATAAATGTGATATTTGCTCTGTGTAACTTCCTCGTGGAGGAGAAATAACACGTAGCTGCTAGAGAGTCAGTGGAGTGTGATGAAAAGGAGCACATGTTCCCTAGGAATTAGGAGATAGCCGGGTTTAGCCACGATCCCCCGCAAACGGCAGTTTTAACAATGACTTTTTGTGTCTTTTCTGTTTAATAGTTTCTTCACCAAAACTGGGGTTTATTGCTCTTCCTAGCTCCACTAGTGTCTGCTGAGAAAATACTAGTTAACCTGTGATACATGCTTCGGACTGTGCTGGTCGCGATTTTACACACCTCGTCTTGGTTAGTTGTCAGCCTATCGAGCAATGGTAGTTTGACTTTACACATCTCCATTCAGAACTCCGGCTGCAGCTCTCAGCACTGAGGCAGTGGTTCCCAAGTGCCATTCTACAGATTGGTGTCCACCCATCGTGAATTTTCTCCCAGTCTATGGGACATCAGGATGAATGGATCGCGTCCTGAAATTTTCATTCACCTACTGATACTATGTTCAGTTATTCCTTTCCTCCTTTTATTAAGAAGTACATGTTGTAGATCCTGCTTATCAGAGTAAAACATTTTCAGGTCTTTGTTGGTTCTCTTCCTCCCTCATTTTTTAACTTGTTTGTACCTCTAAAAACCTCGCAACACTTGGTTTTAAAAATACTGTCTCAAACGAACCACCTTGGCATGTGCTCATGCCAATTTTCAGAGCAAAGCTATTAAAATATGAAGGGGAAGAAGATATTTTTAGGCATTTTTAATAGATATATAGCAGTTATTCCGAGTGTATATTTGATCCAGTGGCAATGCAACCTTGTATGTCATAGCTTCACTCTGCCATCTTCGTTGGGTTTTTACGTGTGAATATATAATACAACTCCTGGCAAAACATATGCTTCAGGGAAACGTTATTCTGTGAAAGGCTATCCCTTCCCACCTTTCGCTAAAACCCTGTTCAGGAATCCCTTCAACTTGTCATTTGTTGGTCCTGCTCAGGGCTGATAGGGCTCTGCTTTCCTTTTTCCTCAGTGATACCAATGAAGTTGACATACCACCCAACACCCGAGTTGGCACCAAACGCTATATGCCCCCAGAAGTGTTGGACGAGAGCTTAAATAGAAATCACTTTCAGTCTTACATTATGGCCGACATGTACAGTTTTGGACTCATCCTCTGGGAGGTTGCTAGAAGATGTGTATCAGGAGGTAAGTAACAGTGATGCTGTTGGATCTACTACAAATCCTTTCTGATCAGAGATGGGAATTAGCATATTGTCCACGATTGCCTTTTATTTTCCACCTTGTTTTGGTTAATACAGTCACAGTCCCCCCAGTAAGTGATATCTGACGTCTTAGAATCATCTTGGACTGCCTCCTTCCAGCTTCTTGTCACCAACCTGCTGGGCCCCATCCCCAACTCCAATATCCCATTCCTTGTGGCTTCCTCTACGCAGGTTAAGTAAGGTACAGACAAGAAATGTGGGGTGGGACACCCATTCTTCACCTCCCCCCCCACACTTGACTTTCTATAGTTCTTCTTCATAAAGCAGTTTGAAAACATCAGTTTTTATCAAAAGGAAATGAAAGCATAAGAGTATTACTACTGGTCATGGTAAGTTTCCTACAAACAAGGATTCCCTAGTAAGACAACGCAAGACGTTACTAAATATTCAGAGGCATTATTATTGCGTGTAGTATCTCGCTTACTGCTGCATCATCTGCCTTTAAATAGATTCCAACACTTTTTAGGTGAGAAGCTGAATCTTAGGCTCTTCATTATCAAGTACCCTGTTTATGGTCACTCTCATGGCTGTGCTTGGTAAGAGACCGTGCTGCTGCTCATCACGGCCAATTTAAACTCACTTTTGTGAAACCCTGAGTTTGCCCATGCTTCTGAAAGTGTGGAGAACACTTCACTGGGGCTGGGGTTCATTCTCAAAGCTGCTGTTTACTATCTGTGAACCTTTGACAAGTTACTCAGCTTGATTCCAGTTCTCTCTTCTTAAGAAGGAGGTGAATGAAAGAGAATTAAAACTTTCTGGTACATCAATAGCTTTCAATACATGTTAGCTCTTATTTAAAATTTTCATTTTGGTTGGTAGGGGCTTAACTTATATTTGGATTCATATTTAAATATAGAGGAGAAACAGTTAATCAACAGGCATTTAGATTTTGGTAGAAAGATCACGATGCAATGCCTTCTCATCACTCTGGGAATTCCGAGCCTATTAGAAGCTTAATTTAAAATAGAACACGTTCCCTCTAAAGTGAGAGAACTGCAAAAAGGAAAGTTGACATAGGAAATGTTTCCTAACCAGATAGTGAATAAATCTCCCCTTATATACGAAGAAGAAAAGAGCAAACCAAAATAGAAGTTAACTAACTGTGCCTTGGTTCATGATGTATAAAGAGTAGATGAGCCTATTTTTGAATACTATGCTTACACTTACGATAGGTTTGTAGAAGTTGAAGGAGTAGTAACTAGACTACAAGACTACTTCTCTAATTACGTTTTCCTGAACATCTAAAGCAAATAAGTCCACAGGAAACCTGTATTTGGAAGCCTGTGAGCTGGAACACAGGAGAAATGATTCTCAGCTTAAAAACAAGTTAGCCTTATAAAAGCAGCACGGTATTAATTGCTTTACTAGGTCTGTCTTTGCCTATGGAGATTTGAGAGGTACTAAAATGTTGCCTTTTCTCTTTATGAGATGGGCATATGTTTGTCAGAGACATTCCAGTCCCAGCTCTGCCCCATACCAACTGTATGGCCTTGGGCAAGGTACTGAATCCCTCAAAACCAACTTTTCTCATCTGGATAATGTGGGTAATAATGCTACCTCACAAACATGTTTATAAAAATTTAATAAGTTATACAGCATACTTAGCTACATGCCTGGTATCTAGTGGGTTCCTAATAAGTGAGTTTGTTTTCTCTTTCCAGAAGGGCAAACACACACAAAACTCTGTTCTCCAACACTTTCCTTTATGAAGATGGTGGAAGTTTTGGTCTTGTCTTTCTAGTCTAGGGACTATTGGGTGACCTAGATACATCTGGATGTAGGTCTACTAAACCTGGGAAGAAAAAGAATTTTTGAGGTTTCAGACACCATTAAATGGCAGCTAATATGGAAGTTTTGATAACTTAATTGCATATAAGGAGAAAGAAGGAAGGCCTATAGTTCAAAGATAGACTTTGACTAATTCATAATTTTATGTGGTTGGCTCTGAGTTTGTTGTGGTACATATACTTGCTTACCACCATGTTGATAACGACACCAACATTAGGCATTGAGGAAAATATGAGATGAATAAGACAGACGTGGCCCTTGCCCTCAAGGTGTTGCCAGAGCCATTGTCTTAAGAATTAGAAAAAGAGGAAGAACTCAAATGAAGTGTGAGCATCCCCTATGCTTTAGACCCTGTGCTTTTAGTATCTCCTATAGAGATGAAACACAATGGAAGGAACTGTTAATGTAGACGACACACGCAGTCATGCTCTGTGCTCTCAGCGAGGAACAAGACAGTGAGCTGGAATGGTCTGAGGAAACTGCTGAACCTTCTCGTCCTTTAGGTTTATATATGGGTTTGAGTTTGCAAGAAAGGGCCTAACACAGACTCCTGCTTTTGTCAGAGTAAACCCCAGCGAATTTAATGATGCACTGGATAACCTGCCAACCTGGCGGTATCATCTTGTTCAGATAAAAGCAATTACGCTTCTGTAATAGATGATTCAGGATGGGGAGGAAAGGTGCTCCACATAGAGTGTTCAGAGCAGTATCCTCTAAGGACAGAGGCTGCTGGTAATTATTGTGAGGAGTTAATCAGATAGGACTGAAAAGAAGATATAAGTAGCCTGCTTTTCTAAAGGACAAAAGGAATAAGGTAGAAAGTAGATACTAGGAAAAATGAAATGGAATTTCTCACGCTAAGTGCCATTTTCCTAAGATGACATAGATTTGTATCTTAACCCTCCTTTATGCAATACCTCTTTTTTTCTCAAAGTAATGCATTTCTTAGAGAAAGTTGGGTGAAACACAGAAAATTTAAAGGAGAAAATAATTAAAAATCAGACAGTTCTTGCACCTAAAAAATCATGGCTGGTATTTTTAGGTGTGTATAATTTTTTGAATTTTAAGTGCGGAAAAGTGCATTCTTATGATTAAGCAGAAAAATGTAAATCTCCCGTTTTGTTCGAGTAGGACACACTGCCAAATGTATTATGAGATTCATAATCTCATATTGCAATAATAGAAACAGTCCCATATTATGCGGTATGAGTTTGGGAGGTGCCTGCCAAGTTTGCATTGAGATTTAATATAGATTCTTTTTTTAATTTGGCACACAAGACCCTTTATGAAATTGGAAATAAATTTGAGATGCTTGTTTTACTTAGCTTTGGGAAATTAGAAAAAACCTGTAATAATATGTTTCATTAGGTTTTCTATTTATGTTTTTCATTAGATTAAGTGTCATTGGGGCACATGTAGTTTTGCAAGACTTATTTTGCAGTTTTTCAGCCTACGCTTGTCTTTAGTACTGACAGAACTTTTTGAGAACGGTTTGTATGTTGGCCGTTTATGTCTACCTCATAGAAAGTGACGATAATAATAGTTCAAAAACAACTCATATTTTCAGGTATAGTGGAAGAATACCAGCTTCCCTATCACGATCTGGTGCCCAGTGACCCCTCTTACGAGGACATGAGAGAGATCGTGTGCATCAAGAAGCTACGTCCCTCATTCCCCAACCGGTGGAGCAGTGATGAGGTAAGGCTTGAGGTAAACAGGTGGCTACGACCAACTTCTAAATAGACTCTTCTCTTTTTGCTGAAATTCCGTATATTCACTACAGGAATCCTCCTTCTTTGTTTTGATGGTGACAGTAATGGTGCTTCACTGCAGTCATTTATGTGGAGCTAAGTGTAGTATGTTAAATTATCTGTTTCTTTTTTCCAATTTGCTTTTGCTACTTCTAAACTATATTGAGTGGGTTAACACTTAGCCTGCACAGTGGGTACACATTATTTCACTTGTTTGTGATGTCCTGACATTTACATAAAGGATGTTCTTTCTGTGTGTGTGTGTGTGTGTGTGTGTGTGTGTGTGTGTCTTTAAAGCATCATGATTTTCTCCATGACAAACCAGCCTGCAACAGTCTCTCATCTTGAGGAGAGAAAAGATAGGTATCTGCAGAATCTTGTTTTCTTTACACTGAAGGGATACTAGTTGACTTAGTTGAGCTGCCCAACTGTGCCACGGACCTTTGTTAACAGGCAATGATATGATGCAGTCTGAACAAACCCATATTCAGCCTGGCTCTGAGGACACAGTGATGAGACCTGAGCAGGTCTGGAAGGCAGCTCTTCAGAAGGAGGAAGCGAGTTAGGTGGCCTTGCATTTCCTGACTCATCTCCTCCTCCGCTTCCTCTGCATCCACGCTCCAAGCTTGTAAACTCACCAAGTCCTGGAGTGCTCGGGCAGGCTGGAACATTCAGAGAGGAGTTTGAAGCATCCCCAGGGGGAAAAAAAAGCAACACCCCCCAAAACCCACCCCACCAAACATGTACCAAAGCCAATGCCAACAAATGGAAAGAGCACTGTATATAAACTAATTCTTCAATGTTAAATGCATTTAAAAATAATCCTTGGTTCATTGTTTTTGTGTCTCGTTACTGAAATGCTAAATAATGCAGATGTTTTCCAATGAGCTATGCAGAAAACTTTATGAGATCCTGGAGTTCTGTTATTTTGAAGGTGGTTACAGGCATTGGTATTATTCAGAATCCCTTCACTGAAGATTTCTAATGAAGTGAAATTGTGCTTTTCAACAGGAAGACCAATAATTGATGTGGCACAGGAGAACACAGGAGAAGGTTTTAGCGAGGCTGTGCACAGGTCATTAATCTTGTTAAATGGTACAGTGCGATGCTCTTATTGTAGCAGACAGCTGTGATTTAGGAATAACCATGTTTGTTTGAATAGTATGGAATTAGATAAAAGATTTAAGCTCATCGAGTGTTATAAACAATGTAGGAGTGTGGAGTGGAACACAGACTCCCTGGGTATTTTTGTATTTGTTTAATACGGACTTCAAAGACACTCTTCTACAATCAGCAAAACCACCTGCTTGCTACTGTCATAAGGAATACATGAAAATGTGTTTTAGTCATTTAGAATTTGTATGAAAAAAGAATTTTTTTATGGAATTTTGTCTACATGCTTTTAGGAGTATCTTTTGAAACTATATTTACAGGGTGCCTGGGTGGCTCCGTTGGTTAAGCACCTGAATTTGGCTCAGGTCATGATCTCAGGGTTCGTGGGTTCAAGCCCCCGAGTTGGGCTCTGTGCTGACAGTCCAGAACCTGGAGCCTGCCTCGGATTCTGTGTCTCCCTCTCTCTCTGCCCCTGCCCCCTTGCGCTCGCGCGCTCTCTCTCTCTTTTTCTCAAAAATAAACATTAAAAAAATGAAAAATATATATTCAAACTTCTGGAGCCTCAGACCAGAAGCCAGATATCAAATGGCCACCTTGCTGATAATCGCTGTGTCTCGTGTTACTCCAGCTTTCCTTTCCCTTCCCACAGTGTCTGAGGCAGATGGGAAAGCTCATGACGGAATGCTGGGCTCACAGTCCTGCATCCCGACTGACCGCCCTGCGCGTCAAGAAAACACTAGCCAAGATGTCAGAGTCCCAGGACATTAAACTCTGATTTGAGGGGAAAAAACAAGCACCTCTTGAGAAAGCCAGTAGATACTCTTCTGTTTGTGGGCAGAGCAAAAGATGTTCCAGAAGCATCCACAGTACAAGCCTTGAACACCATCCTGCTTCCCAGTGGGTTCAGCCTCACCTCTCAGGGAGCAGCCTGGACAAAGAGAAGTTCCCAGAAACACGTGCTTACCGTGTCTGTTTGTAGGAGGGAGAAACCGCTTGGGTAACTTGTTCAAGATATGACGCATGTTGCTTTCTAAGAAAGCCCTGTATTTTGGGATTGCCCCCCCCCCTTTTTTTTTCTTCAAAAGATGCTTTAATTTTGCCAAAATAGAACAAATCATGTAGATGTTTTAAGGTTTTTACTATTATAGTTTAATAACAACAAAAGGTCTTCCCAGAAATTCTGCCGGAAGGCAAGTTTTAAAATACCTTTTTCCATTAGTATAATTTTGTTGCACTCTTCAAACCAAGAGACAGTCTGTGAAGTTGGAGAACACAGAGTGGAACTCCTCTGAAAATCTCCCCGGTTCTGCCTCCTCAGACCACTTTGGCCAGCCCTGAATTTAGGGGCCGCCACAGCAATGTGAATGCACCTGGGTACAGATGCCACCTGTCTGGGACCTCGTTTGGGGGTTCCTGCAGGTGACCCTTCGTAGCTTCAGACAATATGGAACAAATGAAGGTTTCATGTGACTCTGTGAGAAGTAGTAAGTGTTGATGCTTTTCTTTAGAACCACTTTGTGTTTCTGATTCTTTTAAGGCGTTTCTGTCACGGTAAAATCCTTTCCTTTTCATTAAACACAAACAGAGCTGTTTTTAGGTGCAGAGAACTGACCCATGCATGTTTTTGATCTCTCAAACGAAAGGATCGATATTACATAAAATTGCCATCAGTTTTGTTATAAACAAGCCTCTTTAAAATAGAGCTAATTTTGCTCCTGTGTTGTAAGAAAAATATGTCAGTAAGGTAGAAGATGAGGCTTGGGGTGCAAATGGCTTGTCTCTTATCTGTGCAGGAAAGCCCGCCTTAGAAGCACAAGGGAAAGTATGCCTGTCTTATTTTGTATATAGATAACGACAGTTTCTTTTTGTTATTGTCTGTCTCTTTTGTGTCTGAGTGAAGGGAAGGAGAGAAAGCATGTCATATTAATTTAACTAAATTTTAATTTAAAAGTAGAAATATAACCTCCAGAGGGGACAGCAGAAGAGAGCCAAGTGGAGGGCACAAAATATTATGGCTGCTGTGATTTATTATTCTAAGATAGATATGGATCGAGCATACTCACCCTAAATGATAATTTCACGTCTTACGAGTGCTGACTCAGTTTATTTTATTTTCATGACGTTCAGTTCACTTGTTAATTAATTTATTTATTTTTCTTCTCTGTGGCACTTGTGCAAAGCATCTCCTCACCTACTCGGCTCTGTGGGGTTTGACCTTTTGAGGAACGTGAGTCAGATCATTGACAGGGCCAATATTCCTCAGCAACAGGAACATAAAGCTTAAAATTGTGCACACCCCTCTCGCCTGTATCCGTCTAGGTGTCCTTACTGTGGTTTTCTTTTGTTTCTTAGAGATTCTGCAGTGTTTAGTAAAGAATTGGGGAAGTACTTCTTGGTCTTTTTAAACACGACGTTCCTTCCAGAATACTCCAGGGGGCAGTGTTTTATAACACATTTTCACCAGTTGGTGCCTGAGGATGGAGGGTGTTTGAAAATGTGACAGCTGCATGAAAAATGAGAAAATAGTCTCCTCACTTCTGGAGTAGGCCTGCAGCTGGTGACTTGTTCAACCAGAAAACGTCTTAGAGCACAGAGTGGTTGTGAGCTGTGCTTACAGTTTGGGAGAACATCAGGAGAAAGAGTGTTCTGTAGTCAGCATTCTCTTCCCAGTGCTTTAGAGCCGCGTTTTGTGTGTAACGAAGATTTTCTTAACCCTTGAATAGGAACAATGTTTGTTTCTCCCAGATTAAAAACACTCGTTTCCAAATAGAATTGTAATCGGAAGGCTGCTTTTAGTGAGATTAAAATCACCTGAATCGCAACCCAAAGGTTCCTTTCCCTTGGGTCGCATTATATCCCCTGTGATAGCTTGGAAGGAATGTGTGCGTACAATGAAGTGTGATAATCATCTGAGCCTTGGAGAGAAACTTCAGTGCCTCTAAATTAGATAATCTACAAACAAATAAGCAAACATTGATGCCCGTTGAGTGGGGACGCAGTTGTGTTTCTTGATTTTCCCTAAATTTAAGCGAGGTTGGGCTTACCTTAGATAAAAATGTGTGTTATTTTTGGTAAATTTTTATACATAGGTAACTTCAATCAAAATACTTTGTGGGGAGGTGATGATTTGAAAGTGAACTAGATTTGTAGGGGGGACTTGGTTTCAAAGAAGAATGGGAAGAAATTAAAACAGTATCCAAATTTCTTCTATATTATTTGTTTAGTTGTTTTGGAAAAATCTATAGCTTGCTTTCTAATCCTCAACCTGATTTACTCACTATGAACATTTAAAAATTATTCTTGATATATTTAAAAAGACCCATTTAGTTGTTAGTGTCTTTCGATGAGATAGGCATTTATTTATGAGTAGACTTTTCTTCGTATCTTACCCAAACCCACCTTATTTAGGGAATACTAAATTGTTCTTAAAGGGACTACCTACTCACTTCCAAATCATACTTTTTGATTTTTAAATTTTTAGTAGCTCAGAAGTGAATTTTGTTTTTTTTTGTTTTGTTTTGTCTTTCAATAGAATAAGTGGGAACCTGAAAATTACTGTAGTCAGTTGTTTCCTTTCAAGACTGTTTCAAAGACTAAGATTTTCTTCTAATCACTCCCTCCCCTCCGAGGGAATCCTAAAATATTAGTTGCTAGCTAATGTGAGTTTTGTATGCTAAGATGTTCAGGTTTATAGTTTATGTATGTGTGTATATATTATATAAATATATATGTATATATAAATATTATGTTCAGTTTGGAGTCTGGCACAACTCCATTATGTGGATTAGAGAGTAAAATATTATGGATGATAAAGTACTAAATGAAACATAATATTTATTTATGAAAGCATGTAGTTGGTTAAGTCACAAGTGACAGTGCTATGAACGTCGTGTATGAGGAGACAGGGCTTGGCCTTGCCAGACAGCACCGCTCACAGGCCACTAGTGACTGTTCTTTCCTCAGACATAAAGCTTCTTAGAAAACATGCCAAGATTTTGTTTCCAGGGAATTCCTTGACACATTTCGATTGTTGTGTACTCAGGTACAGGAAATACTGAATAACGACAGAATTTCGTGTTCCTAGAGTCATGCATAGTCATTAGACGTTACGGAGGTTTACGCCGTTGGTCTGTTCTGGTTCTTCTTTGTTTGTGAGCGGGAAGGCACTGAAAGCAATTTTTTTTTTAAACTTGAATAGTTCTGCAGTTCTATCTCTTTAGAAAACTCGGTCGCAGAGCAGTGGAAATGAAAGAAGTGGCACCAGAAGTGATTTAATTTAGCAATTATGATTCCTCTTGTAAAACAAAACAAAGAACAATGCCATATTTTTTGGAGAAAAGTTGGCAATGTATAAGGGGTTTTGTTGTCTGTTTCAAAAGAAGATTCATTTGTGTTCTTTTGGGGAACCAGTGCCTTATTGAATTTGTATATACTGTAATTATTCAGGACTAGGGAACAAACAATTGTATTTGTTACAAATTGTATATGGCTTTGTTTTAACATTCCCCCCTCCCTCCCCCCCCCCCCCACTGAAATAAAATGGATTCTTTATCCCCTTGGAAAGAATATGTCTGTTATCTTATAGTTGTGCCTTTTTTCCATCTTTGAAAATGTCACATTGTAACAGGCGGGAAGGCAGCCGTGGAAGAAAATGATGCAGGTAAGCTTATGTGTTTGGTGGCGGGAGAGCGAGATAAATGGTCTGATGGCTTCTGTTTTCTCTGTAATTAGGAGGCACAGTCATCTGTTGAGAGCGAGAGTCAAGGTAGGGAAGTGAGGGCTTTGGGACAAGTGAGTTTAAAATTGCGCCGTGGAAAATTGCAGCCAGATGGTTACAGGCAGCACTGAGGGCCCGGTTCGCGCATGGGACCGACCGTGTGGCGTAGCGGCCGAGAGGGTGGGCTGTGGATTGCCAGGCGGCCTGTGTGGAGCCTCTCATACCCTCAGTTGTGTGACAACAGACCTGTGTGCACCTCACAGAGACTCCTTTTCTGTCCCTTGAAGTTGAGAATAATATTACCTAATGTGTGACGCTGTCCTGAAGACGAAGCCCTCCACGCATCCGGCATGAAGTCAGCGCTCAGCCATTGCTGAATATTAGCTGGCGGTACAAAGTCATGGTGCCACTTTCCTGCGTGGTTTCTGTCAGCTCCCGAAGCGTAGGCCTGGGGCCTGCCACAAACATTCACTCAGGGTTGAAGGTTTTCGGGCACATACAGTCATGGATCATGCAAAACGCGGATCACCACCATCCAGGGAGATGGCTGACGTGGCCCAGAGAAGGGATTGAAGAGGAGGCGGCTGGCGGGTGGAGGGAAACTAGGTCCAAGGACAGAGAACCCTTCCGGGGTTGGGGTGGTGTACCAGCAGTGACAGGGGCTGCAGTCCACATGACGCTTCAGAGAGAGAGCAGCGAGGCTAAGGACGGGCAGGAGGGTGTGATCACAGGAGTGCAGGGATTTAGCTAGTGGACAAGATTATCAGTACCAAAAGAAGAACCCAACAGTAAGGCTTTTGGATAGGTCTTCATGGATCCTGGGGCCCCTGAGGATGGTAGCAGTCTAAGGAAAGGAAGGCTGTGAGGCCGAGTTCTCCAGGGCCACAGGAAAATGGGGGATGGTCTGTGAGGGCAGTGAGTCCGGACAGAGGCCGGTCGGGCCTGGTAGGCTGAAGCACAAAGCAGTGGGTTCCATGCAAGGGCCACAAATGACAAAGACCCCATCTTTCCTCCCAGCCGTGACACGTGGGGTATGGAAGAAGGAGGCTATTGCCTTTGCCCCAGAAACGGCGTCCCCTTGGACCAGAGAAAGCCCTCTGCAAAGGCAGAGGGAAAGGATTGGGTTATTTCTGCTTGGATTGTGAATCTCGGCAGGTAGGGTAGAAAGTTTAGTTTTGAGGGGATCCGTTGGAGACTGGGTCAGGAGAGAAGCCCGGGATCGTTTGGGCACAGGCAGTATAAGAATACTCCCTTAGTTACCAGGGACCCCAAAGTGTTCATGTGACTGGCTGCATTTAGCCAGCTGCACTTGGGCCAAGGGAATTCATCCCAGCACTGGGATTCAGATCGACTTGGCTCACGTTCCGTGGTTTTCACTTTCTCACTTCTGTGGAAGTATAGAATCTGAGCACCGTTTTCTCCCCTGTATATGGGATAAAAATACCCATCTGCTTAGGGCTCTCATGAGAAGCACATGAGATGAATTTGTGAAGTACGTGAAGGCCCCACCCAGCACGTAGCAGAAGCTTTTCCTCACCGACGTGAGTTCAACAGGATATAAGCTAGCGATGTTTAAAGAAGTCACAATTCACTGTGGGCACACCTCTTCGCCCCTCTCTGTGCCCCACTTCTATATGCTATGGCCGTTCGTGGGACGTGAAGGGAGATGGGTAGTAAATCCCAGCTCAGGAGAACAGAACCTTCTCTTGGCACAAGTCATTTGTTACAACCCCGCTCTTAGAAGGACTTTTGTTTCTGGAAAGTAATTTCTACCCTAGGTTCTGAGCTGCAGGACCTCTGGGACAGAAGAAGGTTCTTTGCCTGGTGCCTGTGTGCTGGCCCAGAAGGACAGATACAGCGGGAGGCCAGGCCTTAGAGAGCTCCGTAGTGTCCCCAGCCCAGGTCGCATGTCAGCGCCCTCACAGACTCATTTGGTAGCTCTCGTAGGTTCAGCTTTCCCAACAGGGATCCCAGCTACCAACACTCCAGAGTAGGGGTCAGTGGACGGCATGGGGGAGTCTTACCACCCTGTGCGTTTCTTTGAGAAGTACCGTTTGATTCTTTAATTGTATTTTCATCTTTATTTTTTAAGTGTCTGTTTATTTTTGAGGAAGTGCAAGAGGGGGAGGGGCACAGAGGGGGGGAACAGAGGATCCGAAGCGGGCTCTGCGCTGACAGCAGCGAGCCCGATGCGGGGCTCGAACTCATGAACCTGAGCTGAAGTCAGATGCTCAACCGACTGAGCCACCCGGGTGCCCCTGTATTTTCATCTTTTTGGATGGAGTTGGAATCTCTAGTCCAGCCATAGAACCCACTTCTGCCTTTTCTTTTCCCGAGGTTCCAGTTCTATACACAGTCACTACTTCCTTAGTCCTGACAAACATTTGAGTTTGTGACCCCAGCTTTAAATCTGTCTGAAGTCACTGTCTCCCAGGCCTCAGGAGGGGGCATTTTCTCAGCATTGGTACAATTGTCATCCACTCCTGTGATCCCACCTGAGCAGGGGTGGGCAGATTGCGGTCCGTCCAAGGACACGGCTCCAAGTAGTTCTCTCACTAAGGGAGGAGCCGCCTTTGATTCCACTCGTTTCATGGCCATCATCCACCGCACGCTTGGTGCCTTCTGCTGGCTCGCTCTAAAGGGGTGACCGGGTGTCCTGTACCGGTGGCATTTGCCATAGCTCTGGGCATCCTGTGTTACCGGGCTCATCTTTCATGCCCTACCGATTAGCGTAGTTGTTTGCAAACAACTGATTTCATTTAAAATCAGGTCTCTGGGGGTAGAGCCCCATATTCTTTTTATCCACAAGGTCCCCAGGACCTTCTGATGCTGCTCTAAGACTGGTTCTCCGCATTTACTGCTCACCACTATCACCTGGGGGCCATTAAAAAGTTCTCAACAACCAGGCCACACCCTAGATTATAAAATCAGAACCTCTAGGGTCGGGAGTCAGGTACTAGTGGTGTGTTTATTTTGAGAGCGAGCTTGAGACGGGGAGGAGAAGAGAGAGGGAGAGAGCGAGAGAGAGGGAATATAAATCTTAAGCAGGCTCCACACTCAGCGCGGAGCCCAGCACGGGGCTTGGTCCCATGACTGTGGTATCATGACCTGAGCTGAAATCAAGAGTATGGCACTTAATCAACTGAGCCACCCAGGCACCTCCAGGCACTAGTGGTTTTTAAAGCTACTCAGGTGATTATAATGTGCAGAGAGGCCTGAGAAACACTGATTCCAGAACCTTCATCCTGTCCCCAGGGGAGGCTGTGATTACCATCCTTGCGGACTCCAAGGGCTTTTCTGTCCGAAAGAAACGCAGGGTGACCCTTCACACAGGAGTGTTTTTTTATGAAGAAACAAAGGAGGTAGCACTCTGTTGCTTATAAATATAATTTATTACCTGTTTAAAAATTCTTTCTTACATTTTGTACATGTTGGCTGACAGAATAAATGCAGGCAATTTACAAACCAAGGGACTGCAGGAAAAACGGGGAGAGGCAGCAGGGAGAGAGAAGAGGCACACCCAGAGCTGGCATCCCTCACCTTCACCACACAGCGGCATGGTGGACGGGATGCCCAGAGAGCACTCCTCCACCAGGGGTTTTCTAGAAAAGGAATTGCATAGAAGATACAGCAAGAGGGAACTCCACAACAACAAAAGAAGTGTTCCGTATCTGAAAAGCCAAAGTTGTGTTGTCGTGTTTCCAAAAGAAAAATGACAAAGCACAAAATCTCAATCCGACACTTCTGCAGTTGAACTGTTCCAAAGGGAACAGCAGGTGGATGACACAGGCTCTTCAACACAGACTGCTGGGGATTTCTCTCTGACAAACACTGCCCGTCTTCTTTAGAAAGAGCGAAGCGGAAGGTCACCAACTTGCTACAGCTCAACGTTAAACTCGGTGAACATGTACAACACTGACACCCAACACACACACAGTGATGATATTCCCTGCAATTGGCTGAATGCATTCTGTCTGGAGGGCGAGGGATTCGGTACCAATAGCAGATCGAGGGAAGAGTGAGGGGGAGAACGCAAACCACTCAGCTTGTTCTGATTGCTGTCCTCTTTCTTTCCCAAGGCCTGGAGGGGTACGCACTTGAACTGAAGCCCCTAGGATTACAGGTGACATATGAGACTTTAAGAGTATAAAAAGGCAAAGGCATTTTCCACTGGCTGTAGATTTCTTGCTCTTTTAAGCTGTTCTAAAACAGGTTTGTTTTAGCATGGAGAAGATAGCTCACGTCACGATTCTTGGATATTGCCTCACCATCGTGCCGAGGTGAGGAGGTCAATGGCTCATCAACTCCTAGGCTACCGCTCAGAGATACCGGCCTATGATTCACATTCTGAACTCCAGAAATGAGGGTTACTGCACCCTGGGTCAGCGCCATCAGGCTCAACAGCGGCTCCGATAGCCCCAATTCCAACAGATCTTTGGAACTGAAGGATGACACATAGAATTTGAGAATATTTATAATGGGCCCTGAAGGGTGATGGCCTTCGGCAATTTACAATATTGCCGAGGCACAAATCTCAAATGGCATGTTAAGAGGCTGGTATACAGTACCAAATACTTTGGCTGGTGGGCAGCTGACTGTGTCTCAGGGCAGCTTCCTCGTTGTCTTCTGAACAACTGGTGTACCGGCCACAACTCTTGCGACATTCTGCAGAGATTCCCAGCTTTGGATTCTGGAAGATCTCTTCAATCCCGAGAGTCTAAGTGTACAGCTGGCTGGGAAACAGCCTCTTACCAACAGTGAGTTCTTTACGGTTGCTGGGGTTTGTGTACCAGCACATTTGTGGAGTTCCTGGTGGTTTGTCTTGGTGATGCCTCCCTCAGCCATTCTAAAATCGGTCGAGGAACATATGTTACATTTGGTTGAATGAGCTCATTAGTATCCCACCACAAATCAATAGGAGGAGGGGACAAGCCTACCGGAAAAGCTGGGAGCCCTGAACTCTCCTGAAGACAGATTTTTTAAGTAGGATTTCTGAAAATGGGGGCAAGCACAAGGCCAGTAAGCCTGAAGGATCAGAAAGTTGTTAGTCTTAGTTCACAGGGAAAACCTACCCAGTGACATATGTTGCCATTCCCCCCTCCCCCCACCCCTGCCTTTCCAAAATAGCAGGTTTTAGGCATGAATTCTGGAAATACTTATGACTCCATTTGGCTAACTTGACCTGTATGGACACAGGTTTAAATTAACATTGGTTGCAATATATTTATTCCCCTTATGACTTATTCCATTGAAAAAAATCATTAGAGAATGCAAGGGAAATCTTTGAAAGTGATCATTACAGCCAGAGATTATACAAATATATTTCTTAGGGTAGAGAAACAGCACTTCATTGCACAGAGTCAAAGTTGTAAGGATTTCATTCAACATTAGTTCAACAAGGGTAAAAAAAAAACACACAAAAACAAAAAACCCAAAGTGTAATAGTTGGTCCTATGAGGCACTCGGAAGGTAAAAAAAATGTCTTATTACCTTGAGATAATAATAAAAATATTTTCCTTATTGGATCTATAAAATCTAATGCTCATTGACCACTATCATCTTTACAAATAATTGGCTTTAAGCAACAACATTCTGATTCACAAAAGCTCCTCTATTCTCAAAGAAGATGGATAAAACCCAGTTTCATTTCAGCTGTTTCCATGGTCATCCTTTCCCTCATTGGCCTTGGACTTGCACTGAGGTCTCTATGTGAAACAGATAACTTGTCCAGAGCAACTGCTCAGCAAAAGCTAAAGAAAACTCACATTCAACTTCAAGACTGAAAATTCAACATGTAAACTTCTTCTACATTCTTTACACTCTCTTGCAGGTCCTTATATAGTTTTTATTTGCTTGACCCCATGGGGGCAGACCATATACTGGCAAAGGCTTGTGAATTCTAGGAAGTTAGTGATCACCTTACTGGCTCCCTTCCTCATACGTGGATGACAGAAGTGGACCTAAAGCATATCCGCTGTGTTCCTGACAGTCATACACATGGGGATACAAAGGACGAGAGCCTCGTTTGCTTCTCTCCAGAAGTAAAATGTCTTGATTCCACCATCTGAATGCTTACTTTGAAGGTATCTAACTTACATGAGAAATAAATATCTTTAAAAAAATTACAGAGTACCTAATTTCCAGAGTGTCCTAAACTCAGTCTCCATGACTTCTTCCTAAAGAATGGCTCTACTGTTTGAAAGTTAAGAGAGTAATATCTCTAAAATAATAGTATGTATGAAAATGGGTAATGGTTTTACAGTTGAGTATTGGACACCTCACCCAAAATATTGCCCTGCCTTTGAAGTCATCTGAGGATGGGGATTTTTTCCTTGTAGCAGAGGTGAGTGTCCACATTGGTGTCCACACAGTTTGTGAAAAGGCTGTTCTCTGTTACATGTTTGTCATCACCCTGTGTCCAGTTACCAGTACTGAATCCAGTTTCTATTCCTCCCAGATCACTCTAAGGAAATCTGAATGAATGTGGTGAGAATAAAATGAAAATGGGATGAGACCTCTGCCTTTAGACACCCACATTCAGCAGAAAGGAATCTTCCTTCCAGTCCTGGTTACCAATCACAAATCTCCCTTCCTTAGACACAGTTCTGTCATTTGCATATATAAAACTTATTTGTAAGCGGATTCTTCTTACATTTCCAAAAATAAATATTAGAAAACTAAATGTAAGAGATTTAAAACATCCAAATCTCAATAAAAAATGTAAATGTTAAACATGACAACTCTTCAAAAACTGTTTTATACAGAGATTTATGTATTTCTATCATTCCTATTACCCCAAACCAACTTGAGACATACTGTGTGTGAAAGAGTTGGTGTACTAGCCTCATAATGACATGGAATTTTTATGGGTGATTTAAGTAAAGAAGTGTGACAATAAGAAAACTATAGATTTGAAGTGAAAATTTGCCCACGTGTGTCCTAAAGATCCTGACTGTTTAGCTATTAATTCCCTTTGTCAAACAACTTTACGTGAATTTTTGTGACACTAGGATAGATTGCGTTGTGCACCACTAGATGGCACTATGCACAAATGATAGGTTTCTTTTCTCCATCCCAAAGAAGTAATAAGCGTGTCCTTCCTCACAAGCTATATAGAAACCCTAGGAATCAAAGGCAGGACATGTCACATAGAATGATGGAGTGGCTCTCTATGAAATGAACTGTTGAATCTGGACCTTCTAAGTTTGAGAGCAACCTAACTGCTATTATTTCACTCCAAAGGAAAAGGAAATCAGAATTCGTAGGGAAAATTATCGGACATGAATGGTGTGTTGTACGTAAGGGAGTTGCCATTCACTTGATGGGGAACATAACAGGTTCTATGACAGATGAGTACCTCACTTACAAGGAATCAACCACTCTTTCCTTTCCACTAGGCATGGAAGTTCCTTTGAACATCCTTCAGATTTCTAATTCTTGATTTCCACAGATGACAGCTCCCCAAACCAGTATTGATGAGCAATCTTGAGAAGTTATTTCAAACTCAAGTAATGGACAATAGCAATCTTTTGTCCTCCTCTTTGTAAAAAAATATCTATTTAAAAATCTTTTTACGTAGCATACAGTGTTACTATCTTTTGGTCAAATACGCATTGGTACAAACATTATCCACTGAACTTATTACTGCAATCCCTTCCTTTCACGATAAGTGTAACATGTTTTTATCTATGGTGCAGGGGTGGCCTGAGAGAGACAGGTTATGGAAAATATGCCCCAAACAGAAGATAAGAAACAAAAACGGTGAGAGAAGAGGCTCCATAACAAGGTATCAGTAGTTCCTCAATGATGAGGATGCCTTGAGGAATCTTGGGCATACTAAGAAGTCACCAAAATAGAAGAGGAAATATATGGGTAAAGAAGGAGGAAAATATCTAAAATGATTTCTAGTTCAATGCCAGTCAGTAACCTCTATACCTCTAGCCCAAAAGTGAACCACGGCCATGTTTTGAAGGTTCTGATTCATACGCTTGTTGTTCAGTCGTGGCTTGGCTTCTGGGCTATTGACCCTTTATTTCCCACCTGTTGAATGAATGGAGTCCCTGGGTTAAAACCAAGGGCCCGTGATAATTCTCAGGAAATACCATAGTTTACACAAAGCAGTCGTTTGACTACTTTTTGGTTAATTTTTTTTTTTTTTTAATTTTAAAAATGTTTGATTAAGACAATAATAGAACATAACTTGCAACTAGTCAGGAAGGCAAGTGGTCCCCAAAGAGGAAAGAAAATGATAATAAAGGGATGCCACCTCTTGGTGAGCAGCACAAAGACAAGGCTGGGAAGCATGACAAATAGGTTACAGGTAAGGATCATCCTCTTCAAAGCTGGAACTATTTGGAAGGCATACTGTAGCCTGGGCAAGAGACTAGCTGGCTCTTTATTGATCCAGGTCAGCATCCAGTGTGGGCCTCAGACTGATGAATGAGACTGGAGACATCACAGGAGAAGTCTAGCATTTTAGAACCTTGAGAATATCTAATACTTCCACCCTTTCATTGGACACGTGAGGAAACTGAGGTCCAGGGAGGTTCAATGACTTTCCCAAGGTAGCACAGCTAGACAATGACAAAGCCAGAATGTGAACTGGTTTTCCGATTGCCAGTTCGGAGGCTGTTCCTCTATGCACACTGCCTCTAAAGTAGACAGAGGACCCTGGGGGAGTCAGTGTGTAATCACATAACTACAATATTCAGTGAACTTTAATAGAGAACGCTTCTCCCAACAAGACTCGGAGGAGAAAGACCTTGCCTGAGCAAGCTGAAAGAAGAGACTGACAAAGCCAGTGAGCACCGACTATCTTTCTGGTGCAGAAGGATGCAAGAAAGATAAAAGGTCAAGGAAGCAAAGCCTTTTAATTAAACTGGTGACCACGCCCACCTTATGTCAGAAGAGTGAAGCAGGTCTAGTCAATATCTAAATACTAACAGTACTGCTAACAAAAACAGAAGCTAAAAGAAAATCCTTTTACTAGAATACCTGTAAATACTCATTAATAATAATAATGATAATAATAATGATACCTTTAAAAAGACACCTCAAATTGCGTATTACAAACACACGTGGTGAAGAAATGCTTGTTTGTGTGGCTGAACATGAATCACTGTCTTCCCTGCACTGCTACAGCTTTGTTCCCAGAGGGCACCAGATGGGTGCCCTCAAGGAATAAAGAGTCTTAGTTATTTCTCCTTTACACTTAGATTCTCCACCTCCCTGATACAAACAGTAACACTGGTTCTACAAGTTCTAGAAACGGAACACCAATGGAAGGATTATCTGAGACACTTGATGCACACAGTTTGTAGCAAAAGTCTGCGATTTCTCTGTAAATTACTAATCTGAAATAGACACAACAAACCGTCCACAGCTTCAACTTCAAATGATTTAAACAAAAATAGAACGAGCCATGGACAGTGTCCGCATCCCTGTCCAATTTGATGTAAACAACGTTTGTAGAAATTGGGTTTGTTAAGAAAGTTTATCCATATACCTGGATAGCAATAAAAAGCGTTTCCTAGGAAACTGTAAGATCCTGTACCACACAGCATACAGCCCAACTAAGAGGAAAATTAGGTCAATTTCTAAATTCAAGGTACAAATTTACACAATTGTTCTTAACTCCTGTGATGATGTCCGAGTAAAGTGGGCACGTGTATCAGCAGTTGTGTTATGTTTTCCTTCTCTCTCCTGCTTGCAGTCTTGCCTTTGAAACTCATCGGTCTGGGTCCATTCTGGATTTCCTTCTCAACTGTGATGCCCTGGACGGCCACAGACTCCCTGTGCATTGCCGTCCTTCATTTCCAGTCCCAGCACGAGTCAGTACTGCCCTTCCGCTGCTAAAGACACCACTGTCTCATGCCTTCCCATTTCTTCCAGGACAGCCGCCAGCATGCTCAAATTTCCATCTGGGAAGTTCTGTGCTTCCCAGAGATCCAGGATTACGCCAGTCGGGCTCGATTTGGTAGCAAAGTAATTCAAGTACCTGTAATTGGGAATGGGAGAGTGTGCTGAAAGGTGAGATTTACAGATCTATTTTCTCTGTACTAAACCCTTCCGTCTCTCCATTTGTCTTTTAAGTATCCGGGTCCCACTGGAGAAGCTGTGGTTTACAGGGAGCCATCCTAAATAACTAGCACATGCTTAATTAGATCAGCCCCAGATAGGAGATGTGATGTTTAACTTTGTTAACCTCAACTCTGAGTAAGATAATTTAAGAGGCGAGATGTCTACGGGTCATATCCTAAACAGGAAATCAAGACACTTATGTTTTCTTTCCAACCCAGGCTCTGATCATCTTTGACAGATCATGCCATGTCTTGTGCTTGGTGGTGATGGCAACACTCCACGAAGAAGGGCTCCTGAGGGTCTCTTTATAACTCGGTATCAATGCGGTGATTAGCATGTTAATTAACCATCAAGCATCAGCTCTTGTTCAACCGGAGTTGAGGAACAATTACTTTAAGTGAGTGGATATATTATTTAGGGCCATTTAGCCCATCAGCTTTGCAAAGTGGATCACAAAACCTGATCCTTATCTTGTCAGATAAGCCCAGGATATCTCTCAACAAGGTGTCTGCGAGACCAAGATGGAAGATGCAAAGAAGCCACTTAGTAAGGGTTTGCAGAATGACAAAAAGTAAATAGGTAAAAATAAAAGTAAACAGGTGTATGGGTAGAAAACAACAAATGTTGCCCTAAGTCTCATGGGCATCAGCCCCGGTGCTCTGTGTCTAACAGAAACAGGAGCCCAGCCATACCCACCTGTCCAGGTTCAGCTTATGGGCCAGCATCCGCCAGTCATGACCTCTCGTCTGCGGGGCGTCCAGGCTGCTACAGAGCTTCTGTCTGATAGGTGGAGGGATGCTGAAAGCACTGGGTCCCGTCACGGTGGTGATGGTGCTCGCTGGGTCCAGCAGAGGCAGATCGATGCCAGTAGGCTCCTGTAGTTCAGGCACAGGGACAACACAGCATTATTTCCAAAGACAAAAGCAATCTCTATTGAACCAATCGACATAATGCCTTGCTTTGCGCAATAAGAAGAGAATGGCCTCTTCCTGGCCGAAAGCCGGGACCTGACCTGGCCGAGAAGAAGAGGTACCTTCTGTGCTGACTTTGCATAGCCTTGAATGTATAGGTTTTCGCTCTGGGCTGGGCTTGGTGGAAGTTCTGGTGGGATTCGATAACAGCCTTTCTCTCATCCCGTTCAGGATGAAAGAGGAGACAGGACTATCAATCCTCCTAAAGGTTTAGATTTCAAGAGGGGAGAAATGTTCGAAAGGGCAGTTCTTTGTGAATGAACAGATCTGAGATTAGGAGGCTGGGAGTTCAGAGCTTCTAGAAACTGTCTTGGCCCTGAGGGGAATGCCCTGGGCAAATGCCCAAGTAAATTCTCTCTCTAACCTCTGCAGAAGAGGAGTCAGTTTTGCTTTTGTTGAATGAAATGGAACACAGCTCTCCTCCAAATGATATCAAATTAAGACTAATTTTTTACAGAAAATGGTGAACACAGTAGATTGCCTTAGGGCAAGCTGCTAATGGCATCCTCCAATTGCTGTACACCCTTATTTTTGTTCAATCTAATTTTAGGAGAGAAAATCATAAATTGGCTCTTAAAATAGTTTCAGCTCATAAAACAGCACAAATGCAAAATCTGAATTTCATCTGCAGGAGAAACTCTAATCATTTTCTGATCACTTCTGCTGGTTAGGAAAGCAAAAGCAAATGTTGCCTGGGAACTATTAAAGCAATAAAAGAAAATCCACTTAATCTACTTTAAATGTCATCTCTCCCTCTCTCTCTCTCTCTCAGAGCAGGTAACTCCTTGGTGTACATAATCAGTTGCTGGAGGATAAACTAGACACAGTTTCAGTCATCATGAAGTCTCTGGTGTCTTGCAGAGTGCTTGGCTCAGGGGGTCAGTGCCACCACTGTCCAGAGCCTCCCCAAACTGCTCCTGCCCGGTGGGGATCACCGCTGTCTGTGTCCCAGTGTTCAGTGACAGTACGTTCTGTATTCTGGGGCCAACTGCCAAGGCTCACGGCTCGGCTTGTGCAATCCCACTGCACACAGGGTCCATCCAGGGGCCGGGAGGGCACATGAGAGCAAAACTTTTTTTTTGTTTTTTTTTTCGCCATAATACACACGATAGGGTTGGCCGCCATCACAGTATTTGGCCTCAAAACCCCAAAACTGACAAACGGAGACTGAGGATTCCATTTGCCCCTCTGTGCTCATTCCAGCACATACCAGTTAAAATACTGGTATGAATGAAACACATTAGCAACAAATGGGATTTGGGGTCCCCCAGTGAAGACACGACTTGTAGATCTTTCCCCACATCTGACAGAGTTCCTTCCAAGGGACCCTGAAGACAGAGGAATCCTGACCTCAAGGGCATAGGACTTAAACCAAGGAGAGCAGAAGAATGACCCAGGGGCAGGTGATGGTGTTTATCGATGCATTTGTGTTGGGGATTTCTGAACCAAAGGACTTCAACACTCGTATTAGGCAAAAATGATGTATGTATGGGTTGGGAGGTGGAGGGGAAGAGAAATCACGTGGTATTTCCACAGCTTAGTGCCATCACCCGTGCTGAGATCCTGCTTGCTTCCTATCTGGACAGTAACCACAGAGCCTAGAAGGAAATGCCGCATATCCCCAGGTATGACTATCCCTTGCTGGCAGTGAAGATTAAATTTGCGCCTGAAGCAACAAGGAGTATGCTCTGTGTAGTTCAGACTTGCTTCCCCAGAGAGTATGCTTGCTGTTGGCCACATCTCCTTACTGATTACCTGTGGTCTATGCCAGACTAATCTTCCCAAAGTGCCATGCTGATGTTTCTCCCTTTTCTCTCTTATTAAGAAGCCTTAAATGCTCCACCTACCACATGGAGTCCCACAGTGAGGGATATCTGTGCCACCTGCCCCCTTGGGTGGTATGAGGCCTGAGGGGCGATGCCTGCATAGTATGGGTCTAGGCCTGACATGCAGTAGGGGCCCCATCCTCCCGTTCTCCCACCACTTCACAGTCCGACCCAGGTTGCCTGGACAGAACTCAAACTCTCCTCAGACTGGACCACTCACTCTTCCTAGTGCCTTTTTAAAGGACGGACCTCTGATAGTTCTGCCCTTTCCCTTACTCTTTGCTGGGCAAACCCCTCAAAGTCTGGACCCAAACACATGTTGGGGTGCCTCCCCTGAGCAAACCCACCGAAAGTCACCAACCTGGGACCTCTTGCAGCACTTTTCCCGGTCCACACATCTGCTCTGGGCATGTTGGCCATATTTATGTGTTATTTCTTTTGATTCCTTAAATTTCTTGGAGATGAGGGTATTTTTGTCATCCTCAGAATCCCCCTGGTACTCAGCACAGTGCCCTGCACACAGATGCTCCTCAATTCAAATTTGGTGAAATGAGAGAAAACATCTTTCCTCGTACAGAAAGGGGATAAAGGCCCATCCCACAGAGATCCCGACAGAGGCCCAACCCACAGAGTAGTGTGTTATGCATCCTTCCAGGTAAATGTGGCTAATAATACGGCTCTTCTCACCGTTAAATCCTGAAGTAAAGGCCAGGTAAAGGCAGGCATGCCTCTCGGGAGGGTTTGTTCATGTATTCTTGTTGTCAACCTTTTCCTGATGAGTAAAAACCGTTACCACTTCATGTGCGCCTTCCAAGTCTGAGTCACCAGCCCTGTCTGCTGTGCCTATTTATTTCTGCATGGATGAAATTAGTCCAATAGGGCACAATTTTTTTTGTGTCTCTTACCAGATGGCTGACACCAGCCTTGGAGGTAAAAGAAAAATATACATCTATACTTCCATTTCCATTTCTTCTAGTAACTTCAGTTGTTATTAGTTCTTCCTTTACTTCCAGGTAAGAGTAGAGTTTACTCTTATGGAATGCTTATTACAATAATCGTTTATGATATTGGTACCATCTGTCTCTGATGTTATGATTCCCTTAGTTAGACATACGATTTTTCAACATTAGCCAAACAGCTGCTGTGGGTGACGGCACACATTTTCAGTACTGGGCAGTGGAAATAATGTTCCACTCCCATACTCTGACTCTTCTTCCTAAAGCCACTTAAAAAAAGAAAAAAAAAAAAAAGATTTTCCTGGGGTGCCTGGCTGGCTCAGTCAGTTGAGTATCCGACTCTTGATTTCAGCCCAGGTCACAATCCCAGGGGTGAGGGATTGAGCCCCGTGTCGGGCTCCACACTGCGCATGGAGCCTGCTTGACATACTTTCTCTCCCTCTGCCCCCTCCCCCATTTGTGCCCTCACTTTCTTAAAACAAAACAAAACAAAACAAAACAACAGCAACTAGATTTTCCTAATGATTGTTTAAACGGGTTCTAGAAAACTGAAGAGTAAGTGCATGAGATGAGTACAGCAGATGTACACAAAGATTATTCTAGCAAATGTAGGAAATTATAACTGTTACTATTATCTGGAAATCTGTTAGTAAAACAATTGACTAATACTGCCTCCTCAAGTTCCACCTTTTTCAGGGTTGAAAGCTATGAACTAAAGCAAGGTATGAAAAACCAGCCTGGGAACATAAGCTATCTCCTTTACCCTGAGAACTAATATTTATTTATTTACTTATTGAGATTTATTTTCCATTCATTTCTTTTTACAGTGGCTGGCAGAGGTTTTATTTTATTATTTTGATAAAAAGGGAATCTAAAGTTTAATTTGATGACAGATGCCACAGCTTGCAAAGGCAGAGTTTACTCAAGAATTCAGTGATCCTAATAGCATCGGTGGGAGCAGTAATGGTGAACATCAACTGAACATGTGCTGTAAGCCAAGTTCTGTGCAGTGCACTTACTACCATTCACTCGTTCCATTCTCACAACAGACCCAAAACTTCATGCTATTATTACTATTATTATATCAATTTACATAGGAGGAAAGTGAGGCAAGAGGGGTTAAGTAATGGCCCATGTCCCCATGGAACTGTCCATTTGGGAATTTCCTACTAGAGGTCTTTGCGTACAGCTACAACTAAATGGAAGGTCTGAAGAGCCTTTAAATTTCCCTCTCTTCTCTACACTACTTTTTCCTCTGGTGTTGATGGATAGCTTCCCTGTTCTTACTCTGCCCATATCCCTCTTAAAAAAAAAAAAAAGTAAAACCTTTAATTACTTACATTTGGGCATGCATTCATGCCCATACTTTTACTCTTTCAGACATTTTCATTATTAAACCCATCTCTGTGAGACTAAAGTCTTTGTCTCTCCTTCAGGAATCTCTGGCCAAAGCACCCAGTGAAGAACAACTGTCTGGCTCTTGACATCACCATGGTCTATGTCAAGCACAGCCTGGTCTCCCTGGGGGGCAACAGGTCCTTCCTGACTAGACAGGCCAAGGGCTATGGCTTTATAAATGACTGCTGGTGACTGCCTTGAGTGGTGGGTGGCTGGGGGGCGGGGGCAGCACATTCCTGGCAAGTCAGCTCATTCTTGGAAGATAGCACTTTGGAACTACAACCCCAGCCCACCTGCCAGCTAGCCGTGTGACCCTAGGAAGGAGCCCTGTGCGGGAGAAAGGCACCACAAATGGCGCCTTTTCTCTGTTTGGTTACGGTTTGTCAGTCACAGTGTACCCCTACTTGGAGCTTTTGATGAGGATAGGGGGCTCAGGGCTCTCCAGATCAATTGTTCAGAGCCGAGCCTTGCTCCTCAACATCAGTACCCAGCCCCACGCGTCTGTCCCCCTCTGTGGGCCGCATGCACCCGCATTCAAATGCTAACCACGGCGGTGGGACTCAGTGACCCAGAAGTAAAAGCAGCAGAGTGCCCCATAATACCCAAAGTCATCTGACTCCAGTCATTTCTGACCCTCCCTTGGTTAAATGCGCTTGTGCGTCACGCGCGGGCAAAGGCCTCCGAAACCACAGAAGGGATGGCCTCTCTGAGCTGACCACCACCAAGTTGCAAAAGAAACCACCTTTCCTCTACGTTGGCACGACAAGGAAAGTCCTTAAGTTGGGCTTACACTATGCAAAACTCTTTTCCCAGCGTGGGGCTGGCGGCCCTGGGGGAGGGGCGCGCCAACAGCTCTCTTTCACTGGCGGCCCTGCCTCGTCCAGCTTTTCATCAGGCCGCGAACGTTCGCACTGAACTGAAAGCAGGCATCAAAGGAGCAGACCTCCTCGCCCCCCTCCCAAATTCCGCGGCCTTTGTTGTCCCTGGAGCTGGGCGGTTATTGAACTCTGCAGACCCGCTGGGCCCGGAAAGTGAAAACACCCTCCGGAGCCAGCAGGGGTGGTGCTGTGTGCCTGGGAGATCGGGCCTGCGCACCGGAGGGCCGGGCGGTTGCCATGGCGCCCTGACACCGAGATCATTCCTTATGAATGTCACCAGGGTCTGTGACTAAAGTTGTTTATGAGTCAAAAGTCTCCCGAAACTACAGCAGGAAGTGATGGCCGAGGCCGGGCAGGCTGTGGGAAAGGAGGCTGGAGCATCCCGGAGCGGACGGGCTCCCCCCTCCTCGGTTTGCTATGGAAGACAGCCCTCAAATGCAACATGGAGCGCGCCACACGGCGCAGGGCCACATTTCATTCGTCACCGCGCGTGACACCGCGAGGGAGAAGCCGTCTTTTAAATCACAGGCCGTCCCGCTGTAGTCTTAAAAATACGACAGTCCTGCGCTTTGTGGTTCAGCAAGCAGCGCGGAGCTGGGCTCCTCCAGGCCCCAGGAAATGTTGCCTTCTGACCATTTGCCTGATTCCTTTTCCTTTGTTCCTCCAGGGTGCAGGGTTTCTACTGTTCAAAAGGAGGACAGGGGAGAGTATGGCGCTCCAAGGGGACGCTCTAGGAAAGGTTACTCCATGTACACGCTGCTTAAATTAAACCTTACACTTGAAATTCAGATCTGTTGTAAAAAGTTAGAACACGATCCTTAAATGCATGTCACTAAATATAAAAGCCTTCTTTCTCCAAAAGGATTTCCTATTATATTCTTTTATATCTCTGGCTCCCTGTGTTCATTAAAAATAGTATTCTATTAATAAATAGGACCTACAGGAAGCTTCTCAGGACTTCCCACATGGCCTATGCTGAGATACCTTTATCCTCCACACCCCCTCTCCCTCCCAAGGTCGTTCTTTCCCCTGATTTCAGAGGCAGCCAGGAAAGAGCTTCTTACCTCTGACACGGTGCAGTTTAGCTGGAAGATCTGCCCTTCTCCTTCCACCTGTCGCACGCAGAGTTTGCAAACCAGTTCCACTGTGTTCAGGCTGAATCTTTCCAAGGTGAAAGTGCAGTGGAGGTTTCTTTGAGACCCACTCCATATATGATAAAAAGGAATTTCCTAAAGGGTATACAAACGTTAACCGCCAGTGAGGGGCTAATACCAAAAGCGACTCTCAGACACTGCACGGCCAAGTCCTTTTCTCAGGATTACAAGTGACCTTATTTCACCCTCACAACAGGCTTAGGGGTAGGGACACTCCAACCCGCTTTTCAGATGAAAACACTGAGGCCCAGAGATGTTAAATCTGCCACCCTCCAATCCCACAGCTAGTAAGTGGCAGAGTTGAGATATGAACCCAGGGGGTCAGCCTCCAGAATCCATTTACCTAACCAGTCTGCACTTCTCTGTCATTTACAAAAGAAGCCATTGTAAGTGATTTTTCAAAAGTTTAGCAATTCCCAAAATAAAACCTACACACTCCAGTCATTGCTCATTAAAAGGAATCCCTGCCGTGGTATTCTGGAGAAAAGCAAAGAAAGTCTAAAGGGTAAAGCACTGATCTAGTTCACTTTCATGCCTATATGCCCCCTCTGCACAGGACAGGGGGGAAAGTCAGAACTCACTGCAAGTGGGAAACTGTGGGCTGCCGATTAGCTGCCACAGAAAATCCTTGGCCTAAAAAGCGGCAAGCCTCTAACAGACATAAATTTTCTAAAATTCTAGACCACCTTAAAGAGCCCATCCTAGAATCTTGTTCCCATAAAGGAAAGAAAAGGTTGATATGTTTAAAAAAAAAAAAAAAAGGTGGGGTGAAGTGGGGTGGAGGGAGAACAATGGTGGTTAAGAACTAAGGCTCTGGAGCCAAATTCAGTACAAATGCGAACACTCTCCCCTTGCCTATTTGGTGACGTGGGGTAAGATAATCTTTCCGTGCCTCAGTTTCCTTATCTGTGAAAAGGTAAGCGAAAGAGTAGCCTAATCATAGACCTACTGGGGTTGAATGAGATAAACCAAAGTGCAGGAGTGTCTGGAAGATGTTACAAATTCAGCCAGTTCAAGGCTTAGCTTGAACTAATAGCAGATTATCATTATAATTAAAATAGTATTTTCCATTATGATTGCACAAAGGATACAGTTCATAAAAGGGAAATATTTCTGGGGTTTTATGGCCATTGCAAAATAAGAGAGAGAAGAAAGCAAAGGAAGATATTTAGTGAGAAAGTCAAAAGCCTGATCCCTCTACCAAGTGCTGAGTTACACAGAAGGGTCTGGTATGCACCCCTTATGAAAGCCTCAGACTGTTAGCAAGCTAAGAAGTTTGTTTCCCACAGTTTATATTTAAGTACTAGATATATGAGACTAAGAATGAACTAGAAATCTTCCCTTCACTCTTAGTATGTTCACTGACTTGTATCAGTAAGTCGCACCCAGTTTAGCTGCAGTGCTGGGGTGTGGGATTGGATTTGCATGCATGTAGACGCGGATTCACAGATTATCGAAGTGTGCCTGCATCTCCTGGGACTGGGTATGAGGCTAGAGATTGCGTTGCACAGCCTCCTGGGAGCTCGGGCTCAGAGATGCGGGGGTAGGGGGGGCAGTGAACAACCCTTGGAGAGGCCTCTGCTTTCCCCATGTATCCATGCAGTGAGATTTTGGACCAGTATTTTTATGCTATTATTTAATAAAATCCTGACCACATTTTATTTTCAGGTGCTATTTCCACTTCCATATTGGTGTTCCTTCCAAGTTTTCAATGTAAATGTATTTTCCTAGCAAGGCTGAGGCTTAATTTGTGTCACATGTGATAACACGGTTCTTCTGTTTTTCCTTATGAAGGCATTTTTGAGGCTGTTCTGATCAATTCGATGTTAGCATTTATTCTGAAAATGAATTGAAATGATGGACTTGGAAGTCCTTTTTACTAAAAATAAAACAATAACAGTACAATTATTTAAAGGGGAAATAGGAAAAAAATTCTTTCAAATATTCTATAATATTTTTCAAAAATCCTAAACTCTAAACCATTTTAGAGAAACAACTACCGATGCAGGATTAATTTCAAGGAGAGGAATATCTGATTTCTAAATAACTTCAGACCTTTTTCCTTTTTTAAAAATGTTTACTTATGTATTTTTGAGAGATAGAGGGAGAGAGAGAGAGATCGAGAACGAACCCCAAGCAGGCTCAGCACTGTCAGCACTGAGCCCAATGCGGGCTTGAACTCATGAACCATGAGGTCATGACCTGAACCGAAACCAAGAGTCAGACAACCAACTGAGCCACCTAGGCACCCCTAGACTTCTTTCTTGGAGCTGTCTCCAGTCCTTTGGTTCAGCCTGGGAACCTTACCTGATATTTTGCCAGCAATTTGCTTTTCCAGAGGGAATGGGTGATATCGTGAATTGACAGGCGCAGGTTGTGGGTGCTGCCTTTAAAATGAAGAGCCTTAGGTTCTTCTAGGAGCTGTCCTCCCATCTGTCTCTCAAGCTGCAATACCTCCTACAATGACATGCCCAAAGTCAAAAGCAAATTACTGAATCGTATGCCTTCTGCTGGCCGGCCGTCTCATCAAATGCGTAGTTTCCTCACCGGGCCGCCCCCACACCACAACCAACTGGTACACACTCCCTCTTCTGCAGCCTGGAGACCCTCCAATTGAAGCCCCTGCCAGTTTGTATGTTACTGGATCCACCTGACCATCAACAATCTACATCATATGCTGTGAAGCAAATTCAGTACAGGCTGCATTTCCCAATGGACGAGTGGAAGATTTAATCAAATCCTGGAAAACAACAATCAGAGCCCCAAATGGGAAGAACTCCAAATGAAAGAAAAAAAGAGGTAGGAATATAGATAAACAGTTGAAGTAAGTGGATTTTCAATGAACTTTTAGGGCAAAGGGCAACCCCCTAGAAAACAAACCCATGTCTTGGACCTGGTAAAACCAGCCAACAAGTAAAGACCTGGAATTCATTTTGGGCATTTTTTCGATTTTTTATAGTTTCTTTACGTACAGAAATAATAACATTTTTTGCTTAAAATTATCCATCGCACACTTCTTGACCATCAAAAATGTATATACTCATTATATGTCCTATTAGAGGAAAATATACTAATACAAATTAGGAAAGTCTGTCAGCACCGAATATTGAACTAAAGAGTTACTCAAAGTTGAAAAACAATGACCTCATCTTTCAAGAACCGCAGCTGATCAAAAAATTTGCTATGTAACTTTACTTATGCTATAAAGATGTAACATGAAGACAAATTCTAAATCTACTTCCATTCCTCAAACAAGCTAATGGGAGTTAACGAAGCATTTCCAAGTACAGCTGCAATTATCCAAACAGCAGCAAACCATAAGTTACCAATGAACAAAATATCCCGAGTCTCTGTGGTTGGAACCATCCTGTGTACTTTGCTTCTCTCACGCTTTAAAAGTTTTAGTGACACACATATGTAGGCAATTTGTGATCTTTCTTTCTTCCTTCCTTTCTTTCAGGGTTCAGGAAAATAAGGGATTTTATAAAAATATAAATGCAAACCACTAACTTATTTTTTTGGTGACATTTCAGTTGAAAGCATGGGGTTCAAGAACACAGGAGCTCATTCAGGTCCTTCTACACGCACCTATCAGGCACCTACCGGGGTACCGAGCACAGATGGGTCACAGTGGAAAATTGTGAGGATGGGAACCAGATGGCCCGGAAATACATCCACGTTGCATTTGTTGAATGAATTCTAACCCATGCACATGGAGCCCCATAAGTGCAGAGCTTACCAACATCATTGATTAGCTGTAAATAGCTCATTTCTAGCTGCTTCTTAGTGGTTCTTAGCATCCATCATCTTTGAGCCAGGCCACTATTCTGAACAATGCAAGCTGCTGAAAGGTCCTCTAAGATGTAGGAAATACTAGGATCATGTGGAAAATGGTCTCAGACATGGGTTCCTCTAATTAGTGTTTAATGGAAGAGAAGAGGCAACAGCATGTTGACAGAGAGACAAGCATGGTCCAGCTGCTTCAGAATATTTACATTTAGAGTATTCCACCTTGCTGACTGATGAGTAGCTATTACTTGTGACAGGAGTCTGAGCAGTCGGCCAACTCTCAACCGGTCAAACTTCTACCAGGACACATATGTTGTGCCCTGGCTCTGCTGCACCCACAGCTCGGCAGGCTCCGAGGGTCCCCACTGAGCCACACCAACCTACCCAACCCAGCACTGCACACACGTTCCTCGTGGAACACTTCACCCTCCATTCCTCCACAAGAATCTGGCCATGTGGAAATGAAGACGAATGAGAAAAGTGAGGGTTAATTGCAGTTTCTTCTGCTTCGGCAGCAAGGCATAATGAGCTTATGTTGATCATGTTCGGTGTCTAGTTAGCATAATAGGGAAAGCTGATGTTCCCAGTGAACCTGGCACCTGACAAATTCTAAAGCTAAAATGATGTTTGTTTATAAGCCGTTAGAAGAAAAGAAACATAATTAGAAATCTTTGAGATTACAGTCATGCCAATCAATCAGTTCTAGCTTCTTTCCAGTACACCCTAATTACCTCATCAAGACGTCTAAAGAGCAATCGATAGTAATTATCTGATTACTATAGATCTTCATTATGTCCAAATTATCTCCCTGGGATGTCTAAAAGAAGATGCATTGTATTCTGGGAGGAAATTGTACCCAACAATGTATAATCCACACCCCATTCCTACAATCAACATAGATTGCCAGAGGATATGGAGAACATTATCAGTTTTCTTGGCGGGGAGGACCATTGAAAAAAACCTCAACTGCCTATTGGCCATGACCTTGGAGTCAAGAAATCTAATACCATATTTGAATGCAAAGTGTGGGTTGGAGTCGGCCCAAGAATAAGGCTCAGTCCTTGGTTTCTTTGGCCTTGACCTCAAAAGTCATGTTTAGCGTTCTCACTAGTGGGAAAAGACTGGGCTGGCTTGAGCCTTTCCCCCTCCTCCTCCTTCCTCTTCTTCTTCTTTTTTGAGAGAAAGTACCAAGTAAAATGCCATTTTAAAGATAACAGAGCCAAAGAACACATCTCTACATTCTTAAGCTTTCTGATAAAACAAAGCTGCTGACCTCTCTGGGAGGAACCTAACTTTTTTGTCCACTTTGATTACGCATGAACCCTGGTGAAAGATAAACTACCCATCGCAATGTACTCATGCTTAAAGCAGAGGCCTCTCTGACAAGAGACCGCTGGCTCTTCACTGCTACCTCTGGGAGAAATTGGCCCTGAAATAAATGATTCAGTAAGGAATATCCTTACCAACCTTAAATTTAATGTTCCCTGAAACGTAGCAACTGATATCACACTCAGCATGTTTGACTTCAAGGAAACATAACAAAATAAAGGAGAAGACAAGAACCAAAGCACAAATTGAAAATATTAAAATGTGAATTAAAGATATTGTATTCAATAAACAAAACAAGTCTTTGGAAACTAAAATCATCTACAACTACATGAGTCAGAGATGACTTAACACATAGAGCAAATCCCATATACAGCTGACCTTTGAGCAACACAGATTTGAACTTCAGGTGTTCTCTTACCGATTTTTGGGGGGACAAATGATGAACACTACTGTAAATGTATTTTCTCTTATGATTTTCTTAATAACATTTTCTTTTCTCTAGCTCACTTTATTGTAAGAATACAGTATGGAAAGCACATAACATACAAAATATGTGTTAATCGCCATTCATGTTACTTGTAAGGCTTCCAGTCAACAGTAGTTAACTTTTGGGGGAGTCAAAAGTTATATGCAGATTTTCAGTTGCACGGGGGTTGTTGCCCATTGCTCTCATATTGTTCAAGGGTCAACTACATAAATTTTGTATCAGAGGGAGAAGAAGCAAGCCCACTTGATACAATGGTCAGGCTTGTGTTCCTATTGTTAAGGTCTTAAGTGTTATAATTTCAGATGTATGACATAGCAGATCGCAGTTAAAAATATGCTGTAACTTGTATTTCAAAAAGCTTGATTTTCTGCATTCCTTCTGCATGAAATCATTTTGTTATATATATGATACACATAAGTAAGATGACATAAAAATAACAAATGTACGAATCAATAAGATATAGCTTTAGAGTTAAATGCTTTCCTCTCCTTAATCTTCCCGAGAGCATTCATTCAACATCAGTCAAACACACATGCCCTGCCGGGAAGCATGTCAGGCTCTGGGGCACACAGATGAGCCAGTCCCCGACCCTGCCTTATACCACTCACAGCGGGGAGACTGCTATGTAATTGTGTAACCCTAACGGCTGTTGCTTAGCTCTAAGACAGCTTCCAGACTGGATCACAGGTTAGGGTATTTGGATCACAGGTTGCCTTTGGATCACAGGTTAGGATATTTCACCCACCTTAAAAGAGAGCAAGAACAAAATATATTTAAGGTCAAAAGATTTAGTTAGACTTAAGAAAAATACAGTGACCTTGGAAAGAAATGCCATACTAGGAATTAGGATCATCTAGGCTCTTTGCTCTCAGAGATCTAAATGTCATCTTCTTTTGCAAAGGTCGTCCCCCGCTCTTAGCAGCACCCCACCTCGGGGCCTTATTTTGGCCCTGGGTGACCACCTGTTGCTTTAATGAGCTTGCTCTGCTTCTAAGAGAAGAGGTCACTTTCTGACTTCTTTGTCACTTCTGTCTCCACCCTGCAACTTGAAAAGACTCTCTCAGGAGTCAGTTATTGGCAGAGGTGTCTCTAGCCCATCTCTCTGCAGGAACACACGCAAGACCCCAGTCGTAAAGGCACCAGGAGCAGGCCCCTGTGCGTGTGAGTCTGTGCCCACCGGGATCTGAGCAGTCCTGCAGGATGGCTGCTTCCTCAGCTCCGTGGTTGCCCAGCGCAGGCTCTTCAGTGGCCCTGAGTGAGGGCTCTATTGATTCAGGGGGCCCGTGAGGGATCGCTCGAAAGGCAGGGACATGAGATTCCACAGTAGAAACAAGCAGCTTGCACAATAACCAATTAAACCAAGACATTATCCATGCCAAGCTATTAGCCTGGGCCACTTAAGAGCCACAATAAATCTAAGCTGTTTTAAAGGCCTGTGCGTACATACAAAGGGAGCACCTCTGGCCTGTACCCAGAGCTCTCCCAGGCTCTTAGCCTGGAGGATCGGCTCTCATTAAGGCCTCACTGGGCAAGGGGAGTGGGAGGAGCCTTACAGCTCCCACACTCTGGTTTTCCTAACCCCAGAATTTTTTGTGCGGCATTATTGCTGGGGTTAGACCACATCTGCCTCCAGGCCACTTGAGTGTCAGTCTCTCAAGGAGCTCACAGGAGAGCCCCCAGGCGACAGAGCTGCTGGCTCTGGAGATACTTGAAGCACTTGTTTAAGAATGTGAGAAGTCTCTGCCCGAGGGACTTTTTGCCAGGAACTGTGTGCAGTGCTGGGGCCCTGGCTCTGCTCCCCACACTCTGTGCTCACCCTCCTCTCACTCAGAAACCTGCCTCTTCTCTCCCCAAGGCTCCCAACAACCCATACCCCCTCCTTTGTTGGAGATACTTGTTTTAGCTTCCAGTTCCTCAAGAAGTGCCATTAGCCATTAGCTCCCCCACCCCTCTCGGTTTTCCGACCTTGCCCTCCTGGCCCTCCTTTCCTTTTCTTATTAGAAATCTTATCAGCTAGAGAAAGGAGGAAGCAAGTGATTAAACTCGAAGCTCCTATAACGCATTAACATTTCTTCTGGAAGAAAGAAGGTTGGAAGGAGGTTAAATCAAGGCTTTGTTTTATGTTGTCTGGCTTTGTTCTCTGTATTGTGGGGCTGTGATTTGTCTGTGCACTCTTTACTCTTGGAAACAGAAAGCCTTGAATTGGCTGTGCTTAGTGCTGCCGAGGAAGCCCGGGGACCGCGGCGCTGGGAACCCGAGCACGTGAGCCTTCTACTCCCCAGGTTTTCAGCCCCGGTTGGCCGTGCTACTCTGCAGACAGGGACCCGCTCTCCACGTTCTGTCCCCAGCACCGGACCAAGCACTGGAGACTGTGTTGTGCAGTTCAAGACCTGTGCCCCGCCTTCACCACGTTTGCACCGCGTGGGCCAGGGGTCTCAAGGCCCAAACCCAGCAGACCTGCAGCCCGCCCATGCGCTAAACCTCAGAAGACCAACCCTCAAGGGTCGTGCTGGCTTGTGTTTGAGAAAAAAATCACATCTCCCTTCAGACTTCGTGGAACCTGCCTTGCTCCTGTTAATTCTTGAATTCCTTGTGAAGACCTGCCCTTGTCATCGGGGATGAGAAATTCCTCTTTTTGCTACTGAGGCTTTCTCCACGGTCGCCCCCACAGCTGTGGGCCTGCGTGCTTCCCAGGCAGAGGCCACAGAGAGCGGCTGTCCTTCTCTGCTGTGCCCTGCCAGCTTTTCGGCCAAGCTGCTCTCTGTTCCCACGTGCTGACTGCTCCTCTGGCCTTCGGGCCTCTGGCTGCAGAGCCCAGTGGGGCACATCCAAGTGTCGGCCACCTCTCCCACCTGCTCGGGTCACCACCGCCTCACTTTGCCACCTATTCTTCAGGCACTCACACCAGGGTGCTGCGCTCCCCGCACTGAGTTTGTCTGCCGTACTTCATCCCCCATAATAACGAGGCTGGACTCCCATGACCATGTGCAAACATTTCCCGTCAAGTCACTTGGTTTCCAGGGCTCTGCTTGCTGCTCCCCCAGCTGCCACTGCCATGAATGCTTGGTCTGAGCTGCCACTTCCAGCCTGCCCAGTCAGGGCACCTTGTGACACTTTTAAAGCAAAACGTCAGAGTGTGGCACTCGAGGAAGTGACGGTGTCCCTTGTCCACCTCTGGGCGTACTTCTAAGGAAAAGGTGATCTCTCACATCTCTGTAATTAGCAATAGAACTTTTTAGGTTGTTCTAGAGCCTCTGAAGTCATCTTGTATTCCTTTGCACCACCGAACATGTTATTCTTTGATTTCTACATTAGTTCCTATTTTTGCAGTAAGAAATTACCATAAACCCAAATGACTCTAAACAACACACATTTATTACTTTACAGTTGTGTAGATCCAAAGTCTGACCACCAGACCCACTGAGCTAAAAAGTCAAGGTGTTGGTAAGGCTGTCTTCCTTTTTGGAAGCTCTAGGGGAGAATTTGCTTTTTTGTCTTTTCTACCTTCCAGAGATTGACTACATTCTTTGGCTCAGGATCCTCTTCCTCCATCTTCAAAGTCACCACTGGCACATTTCTCTGGTCTCTCCTTCATGGTTATAGCTCCCTTCAACTGTAGCTGAGAGAAGTTTTCCACTTTAAAAAAAATTTTTTTTAAAAAAATATTTTATTTATTGGAGCACCTGGGTGTCTCAGTCGGTTAAGCATCTTACTTGGGCTCAGGTCATGATCTCACGGTTGGTGGGTCCAAGTCCCATGTCAAGCTCTGTGCTGACAACTCAGAGCTTGGAGCCTGCTTCACATTCTGTGTGAATTCTGCCCCTCCCTTGTTCATGCTCCGTCTCTGTCTCTGTCTCTGTCTCTGTCTCTCTCTCTCTCTCTCTCTCAATAATAAATAAACCATTTAAAAAATTTTAATGGTTTATTATTTTTTGAGGGAGAGAGAGCACGAGTGGGGGAGGGGCAGAGAGACAGAAACAGAAGATCCTAAGCAGGCTGTGTGCTGACAGCGGCAAGCCCAGACTCAAACTCACAAACCTAACTCACAAATCTTGAGATCATGACCTGAGTCGAAGTCGGACACTCAACTGACCGAGCCATTCATTCAGGCGCCCCCTAAAGTTCCCCACTTTTAAGCACCATGTAATTAGATTAGACCCACCCAGAAAATCCAGGATAATCTCTTCATCTTGAAGTTCATACCCTTAATCATATTTGTGAAGTCCCTTTAGCCATGTAAAGTAACGTATTTATAGGCTCTGAATATTGTGTACAGGTATCTTTGGGGGCCTTTATACTGCCTATAATGACTTTTATCTTCTCTCTCTTTTCTTTCTCTTTCTCAAAAAATAAATTCAATGTGGCAGGTCATTTCCAAAATATATGATAGGGCCAGGGCCCAGTCTCATGAGAAGGTAATTAAGATTCAGTAAATTTAGATTCACCCAAAAGATCCCTGTCCCTAATGGCTGACCAAATAGCTTGATGACAAACCTGAAACTCACCCCACAATTACATCATGATTAGATTTAATATCTTCACTGAGCCATTATCTTTAAAATACCGTTATATCCAGATGCCCATCTAGGGATAATGAACATCATCAAATATCTGTTTTGTGCTAGGAAATTTAATAACTTTGATCTCCTTGAATCTTGTAAAGGTGCCTGATGTACAGCAAATGACTGTTAAAGAGGTCAAGTTCAATGACCAGAGCCACAGACCTGAGGAAGGGCAGAACCAAGAGGCTTAGCCAGCCTCACCCAAGTTTCCCTACCACACCACATTTCCTTCCATACACTTAACAGAAAGCAAAAAAAAAAAAAAAAAAGGAAAAAGGAAAAACACATTTGTAACCTTATTACATTTTCTGGTATTATCTAATACTTGTGTTACATGTACAAATATATTAATTTAATTGCATAGGCCAGCATCCTGAAAGTATAAACATGGGTCATGTTAGTTTTGAGGTTGTTTGAGGGAACCGAAAGAAAAGAGAAGGCTAATGGGGTCAATTCAACAGAGGGCCAGCCTTCATAAGCCCAGAAGAGATAGGCTTGAGGTGTTCTGGGTTGTGCGGGGTCACAGCTGCAGTGGAGGGGGCGTCAGAAGGACAGTGGAAGGCACCAGGTTCCAAGATGAAAACAAAAGCTTTTCCACGATAGTGTCTCCAACTGCAGCCCAAGATACTGAGTATCGCATAGGCCTCGACTAGATTTCCTACTTCTTTTCATTTTCAGTATTTCTTTCATTTTCTCTTCTTTTCCACATAATATGAGAGTTCACAGAGTTTCTATACTAGACCGCAGCCTGAATCGGGGTATGTGAAAGCTGAAGAAATCCCAAGAGTCTATGCCAAATGACTACATGAAGCGAGCGGCTTATGTTAATTTACATATTTGGTCAGAAATTCATTTGTCAAATACATTTGTCAGAAATTCCAGAAGCATCATATGTGGCCCATAATGTATACAAATAACTCTTCTTTTAGGTTCTGAATCTCAGGGTTTAGTATAAATCTCTCAGAAATTGTATTTTCAGAATTGTAATTCAGGACAGTGGGACAGAAATGACTTATTTCCACATAGTTGTGGACTTCTCCGTGTTTTAAAACTTACCCCAAAATCATCTTGTTCTCTATTATTTTCTGGTATTTTAAGAAAAAAATTTTAATGTTTATTTATATTTGAGAAAGAGAGAGAGTACAAATGAGGGAGGGGCAGAAAGAGAGTGAGACACAGAATCTGAAGCAGCTCTAGGCTCTGAGCTGTCAGCACAGAGCCTGACATGGGGCTCGAACCCACAAACCGTGAGATCATGACCTGAGCCAGAGTCAGATGCTTAACAGACTAAGCCACCCAGGTCTTTCTGGTCTTTTGATATGAGGATTTAAGTCTTTGTAAATAATGGGAGGAAAACACCAATATCATTACTTTAATCACATGAAGAGGAGGGAAACAGAAAAACTGATCTGTGGCCCAACTCAATCTTTACAATAGACGGGACCTCTCTGTGTGGGCACAGAATTGCCCCTAAGCCATTTTCACAGTTCATAGCATCTTTGTCTCTCTACATGAATTCAACCTGCACATTGCTCTCCCTGTTCCTTTGAGCACTTGCACGGGAGAAAAATCCACCTGAAAGGTACATGAAAGAACCCCCTGTCTCCCAGCAACCTTGACTTTTACTCTGGCACTCACCTCTAGCATCCTGATTCTCAGCAATGCTTCTGAATTGTTAAACACAGCTTTTAAGCTTCAGGTGACCATTTCTGCTGTGGGCTTAACGAAACTCAGGGAAATTGTCACCAAGGCTACCGAACTCAAAGAGCTAGGTGGGGACATGAAAGGATGCATCAGGGTTGCTTGAGACTGACTGATGTGGTGGTCTCCTTTTTTTTTTTTTTTTTTTTTTTGCTCCCCATCCACATAGACAGTATAAGCTCATATGATAAGAGAGTGGGAACTAATATTCTAGATATGTTCACTTCCAGACATCCAGCTACAGTTTTCTCTAATAGCTCTCCAGACTGTAGAGTTCTGAACCCCTGAGAATGTCCTCCGCTGAGCTCCCTCTCTGACCCAGTCCAACATTCTGGGAGGGCTTCTGCCGTTCAGGAGAAATCCCCAGCACGCAGTGGTAGCTATAAGAAAATATCAAGTCTGGGGAGACCCACTTTCCGGCACCATTTGCTACGCTGGAGATGGACGGGGGTAGAGGAGTTGGATTAAAGCACAAACAAGGAAGCAGAGCTCCTTTTCATCAGAACCCAGATGGGATAAAGAGAGGCTGAAATAAAAGGTTTGAAGAGGAAAGGACAGGAGCTAAGGGAGTGTGCCTTGAGTGGTGCAGTAGGAGTCGGGTCACTGCAAAGGACGGAGGGGTTGCCATATAATCAGGGACTTGGAGAGAGCAGGGAAGACTTGGAAGAAGCGCTATGTGAAAAGTGGTGAGTCAAGAAGGGATGAATGAAAGGAGTGTGGACAAGAAGAAAGGGAAAGCTTAGGGCAGCCATCTTGAGAGTAGCAGAGACTCAAGCAGAAATCTATCATTTTCAGAGCAACTCAACAATCTGGAGGGAGAACGGGAGGGCTTGTTCAGGGGCAGTCATCTTTAGCTGTGGAATCAGAAAAATCTACTGTAGCTCCAGTTGGCAAGAGATTTAGAGTGGAGGTGAGTTCCCTGGAGATCTGGGTAAGAACAGAGGAGGGTCTGTGAACCAGGCCACCAGAGGAGTTTGAGGGAGGTCTTCCTTAAGAATCAAAGGTGGCCTGCATGCCCTTTGTGTTCGAGAGATGGAAGGTCAGATATTGTGGTCAGAAACATGGAGCTTCGCAGGTGGGGATCTTGGCAGGTGGAGATGTTAATGAGGGTGAAATCCACAGCATGCCTAAACCGGCGGACAGATAATGTGGGATGATGTCAAGGTTACCAGAATAACTTTGGGCAAAAAACTGTGATTAGTGGTGACTTTGAATCTGAGAGATTGATAGGAATAAAATGAGTGGGAAGAAAGACCATGAGGCAGGTACTGCTAGGCTGGAGATAGGTACCAGGAGATTGGGGGCTAAGGAACTGAAATAGGTCATGAGTAACAGAGTAACAGAATGAGAATAGCAGTAGGAAAAGTCAACCCTACGAGCAGAACAATGCCCCAGAAGTGATCATGGGGTAGGAGAAGTACTGGAACTCTTCCTTTATGCCTTGTGGTTACTTAGAGGGTGTGGTCTTCACCATGGAGATTATGAGGGATGCCATGTGACGGGGAAGATCCAGTTGCCCTTAATGTGAGTAGGTGAAGGAAGAGTGGAGAGGATGATTCAAAGGGTGTAGGAGAGTTTGTTCATAAGAGGATTAAAGTTCCAAAAAGATCCATGGAAGTGT